GTCTCAGAGAAGTGTTCGTTTACACAACCCGTGTGTTGTGCCGTCACCAGCCTGATAAACCTGTAGGTGGCAGTGTAACGAGAGGCTCGAGCGAACAAATCGATTCGCAAGGTCACATTCTGGACGCAGGCTCTCGCGTACTGTGACGTCGGCTAGCTAAACCGTCGTTTTCTCAGTTTACATGCTAACGACGTTTTCCAAAATCTCCTCTCGGGCCAGAGTTTTTAGAAAGAATCGTTTTCAGAGGCGAATTCTCCGTTTGCGTGTAAACGAAGGGAAATGTCTAAATAGCAATGTGTAAACAGGGATCACATAAGCACGATCACATAATCACATGATCACGATAATCAAGGCCCTTGAAGCGTGTATGTCTAGGATTTGTCACTTCGGTCAGTCTTGTGGCTGTTTTTAAATCTGCTTTCTACATGAATTAAACTTCTAGACAACGGCGTGGACGAGTACCAAGCGGCGTTCCTGCTGTCCATCCTGGCGTTCGTGGACATGTTCGCCCGGCCGTCGATGGGTCTGCTGGCCAACTCCCGCTGGGTGCGGCCCCGGATCCAATACTTCTTCAGCTTCGCGGTGCTGTATAACGGGGTGTGCCACCTGCTGTGCCCGCTGGTCCAGAGCTACACCGGGATGGTGGTGTACGCCGTGTTCTTCGGCTTCGCCTTCGGGATGGTGAGCGCGGTTCTGTTCGAGACGCTGATGGACCTGGTGGGGCCGCAGAGGTTCTCCAGCGCCGTGGGTCTGACCACCATCGTGGAGTGCTGTCCGGTGCTCATCGGGCCGCCGCTGGCAGGTGAGGAGACGCTTTATCCCAAAAACTCCAAAATTTGTGGTTTCCTTGAAAAAATGTCTTCATGTCTTACAATAGCTTGAATGTAACTCAACACCCTTGCCTCATGTAGTATAGGTGGTTCTATGAATATGTAAATGAGCCCTGCCTCCACTCACTCAAACTCACTCAGAGACTCAAACAGAAATATATATTTATAGGGATAGTTCACGCAAAAATGAACATTAGCCCATGATTTACTCACCTTGAAGCCATCTTAGGTGTGTATGACGAATATAATCAGAGTTATATTAAAAAATGTCCTGGCTCTTCCAAACTTTATAAATGGCAGTGAATGAGTGTTTCTGTTTTGAAGTCCATAAAACTGCATCTATGAATCAGAAAATTGGATAAATGTGATGGACAGATGCACTTTTATGATGGACAGATGCACTTTTATGATGGACAGATGCACTTTTATGATGGATAGATGCACTTTTATGATGAATAGATGCACTTTTATGATGGATAGATGCACTTTTATGATGGATAGATGCACTTTTATGATGGATAGATGCACTTTTATGATGATAGATCCACTTTTATGATGGATAGATGCACTTTTATGATGGATGGATATACTTTTATGATGGATAGAAGCACTTTTATGATGGACAGATGCACTTTTATGATGGATAGATGCACTTTTATGATGGACAGATGCACTTTTATGATGGATAGATGCACTTTTATGATGGATGGATGTACTTTTATGATGATAGATGCACTTTATGATGGATGGATGTACTTTTATGATGGATAGAAGCACTTTTATGATGGATAGAAGCACTTTTATGATGGATGGATGTACTTTTATGATGGATAGAAGCACTTTTATGATGGATAGAAGCACTTTTATGATGGATAGATGCACTTTTATGATGGATGGATGCACTTTTATGATGGATAGAAGCACTTTTATGATGGATAGAAGCACTTTTATGATGGATAGATGCACTTTTATGATGGATGGATGCACTTTTATGATGGATGGATGCACTTTTATGATGATAGATGCACTTTTATGATGGATAGATGCACTTTTATGATGGATGGATGTACTTTTATGATGATAGATGCACTAAAAAAGTTTAAATATGTAATTTTGGTGCTCAGAGATGAGTTTTGAGGGATAAAATGATTGACGACGGGGGAAATTACACAAACTGAAAATAATAACTTGGCGGCCATGTTTGCTCTGCAGGGAAGCTAGTGGACATCACTAAGAACTACAAGTACATGTACCTGTGCTGTGGAGCGGTGGTGGTGTTCTCCAGCATCTGGCTCTTCATCGGGAACTTCATCAACTACCGTCTGCTGGACCGCGAGCGCAAGCGCGAGGAGACGTACCAGCGGGCCGCGCAGCACGACGCAGATGCTAACGCAGACACTAGCGCTACGCAGGAGCTCAACGAGAGTAAAGACGCCGTCATGCAGTGTGAAACCAACATCTGAACGTCTATGCAAACACTGGAGACACTGCCAGAGTCGATCCGCGCGGCTTCAGCGAGCACTTCGACAGGCTCAGGTTCAGCTAAAGCTCGCGTCAGAACAGTGTGTGTTCAATGCTCACACACACACACTCACACACACACACACACAGGTGTATAAAGCAAACTGATCTGCTACTGAATGTAAATCTGATGCTTTAGAGCCTTATGAATCTGTTCCTGAGGATTATTACCGATCATTACTACCAAATCTATGAGCAATATGATTTACACCAGACGTCCTCAGGGGAAACGCTAGTTTTGTTCTGTGTTGGGTTCTTTTTCACACACACACACACACACACACACACACACACACACACACACACGGACGGATTAATGTGATTCAGTTTCACCATAAACACTTTTTGACCTATGATGTATTGCCTTAAGTATAGAGTAAGCATCTATTATTCTACTATGAACTTTATTGTTTAACGTATTAGCTGATGTAAATCCACAAGATGCTGTATAATTTACTGTATGAAATGCATCTCGTAGTTCTGCTTTTCTTTAACGCCCTGGAATTAATTTAACAATTCACATCTATTTTAAGACTGTAAGACAAGCTTTTGTTGTCGAATGTCTATGAGCACCAAAAGTATTAATAATTATCATTAAATTATTATCTTAACACAGTACAACGTATGCATTGTTATAATGTCAGAATTGATATGTTGTGCTATTTTTAGCATGTAAACTAATGACATTTATTTAATGATGTGGTTATTACATGCATCATTTTGTTTTATATCATTTTTGCTTTTTTTATCCTTTGTTATGATTGTCGAGAAATAGACCAAACTGCCACTAAAAACATTCACACGCACATATACATTATTATTTTGTATTAACTTCATGCTTTTTTTTTTTGTAATTGTTAAAATTAGCCAACAAATGTAATCAGTTTAACTGGATCTTTAACCTCTTATGACATGTGACTGTATTCACTTTTGTTCATAATTCTGGATGTGCTGATATTTGAAATTAAACCACATTTGGAAGATCTATAACTCAACCGAACACCCATCTATATAAATCTACTGAGTCTGATTTCATCCTCTCCATGAACACGCACAATATTCTTTCATACTATGCATATATTATTATCGTGTCGAGTTTATGTTTTGAATCCACCGCAGAATGAAGCTCAGCGCGAAAACACTGGAATGAATCAAGTGTTGAACGAATCAGTTGACTCAATGATTCAAATGACTCGCTCGTTTGTCGTAACGACGTAGGCAGCAGAAACAGTCCCGTGAGTGCTTTATCTTACAAGAAATAATGGTTCATTTATTATTATAGTAAACAGGTCAAGAAAATACCACTATAACTAATTATAATCTCGCGTTACCTGAATCTACTTTTTTAAACTAATAATTAAGCTTTCTTGTGATTTTAAAGACAAAAGATTGAAGCCCATATCTGACAATAAAAGAAAAAAAAACATGCTTTGGAAAAACGTAATTATGCCAACCTACGAAGTCATAGTTATGATATAAAAACTTGAAATTATGACATAGAAAGATCAAATTGACGTTTTCTCTCATGATTATAACTGTCAATGTCTACAGTCTACAGTATATTACAATTTTTAAATCTCATAATTATGACTTAGTATGCATGCCATAATTATTAACTTTTAAAGCTGCACTAGTATGCGTCTTGCGGAAAAACATTTCAGCCGGATCTACTTCCCTCTGTTAATGACGCGTCACGCAGGTACTGTGTTCCTCCGCAGCAGTTGTGTCACACTCGGTCTGAAATCAATACCTTACAGACTATGGTGTATACACAGATTAAAAAATCTGTTACTTTGACATTTTCTACCGTAGTAACGATATATACCGTCATACCACCCAACTTTTATTTAGTTATACCGTAGTGATTCATGATACAACAAAAATAAACCGGTTTGGATATGGATTTATGATGTACTCGTCTATTTTATAAATGTTGTACATTTTAAATAAAAGGTTACTAAAGGTTAAAGTGCAGCTTTAACAGCTATATCATAATTCCAGCTTTTATGGCATAATGATAACTTTATATGTAACCATCAGGATTTACGGGCTTCCATAATAATGTGTCAATGTTCACAGTGATTGACAAACAGCAGATCTTATTCTTAAATATGTTCACATCACATGCCTGTCGATTCAACAGTAACCCCTGGGGTTGCGCGGGAGTGCAGTTCCCGCCCGTGGCCAGCAGAGGGCGCTGCTGCGCTTCACCACAGGGACGCTCACACAACACAATCTTTTACAGGAAGCTCTCTCAAATCAATTCAAAAATGTCTTTATTGGCATGATTGTAAATAATACAATATTGGCAAAGCTTGGAATACATATAATAATAATAAAACAATCATAGAAAAATTAAATATAATAACACAACTACTTTATTTCAGAGCATTGTTTCCCGCAGAGAGAGAGAGAGAGAGAGAGAGAGAGAGTTTTGAGCGATTTTAAAGATTTTAATTGCTAAATTTAATTGTCATTATACAGGGTGATTCAATGTAATGCCTCGAAAAACACTAAACACTGTGTCCGAAATCCCCTACTTATACACCCTAAAAGTAGGTCTATGTAGTTTTGTGAAATAAATAAATAAATGAATAAAAAGTAGGCCTACATAATTTTGAGTTTTGGACAAACAAACTTCTTTGCCATAATTCTGTCTTTAACGGACCGCGTGGGTCTTTCATGACCAAACGGATCATTATAAAAGTTCACAATGCAGTATCAGATTAAATATAATGAACAACACAGAATACATATATTTACGTCAGTTTAGATATCGTTTATTAATCAATCAATCAAACCCGTTTACCGAAACCGTCGGTCTTACACACCCGCTATATTTGTAGTTTTTAAACACTTTTTATTCGTGTTTGTAGTTCTAATCGAATCGTCGTTAAACGCGCGGGTAATTTTAGCCGTTTTTAAATGTTTCTACTTGTTTCAGAACGGGAATGGGAAGGTTATTAATTTGCTGATTTGTGAATTAATATGAATCCTCGAGGTTATTGGTGTTTCTGCAGGACTGAAGGTGATTCTCAGGCGCTTCTGATGGACACTGAGGTTGTATTATATAACTGCTTTGCAATTTTTAATATTGCTGACGCTAAAAATCCATAAAGCGGAGCAAAAACACCCGGTGTTTATGTGTGGAGACAGATTGAGGTGTGTGTAATGATATTCATAGAGGTCTGCAGGACTATATGAATTCATAATCATATCGATGGCTCCAGACATGCGCGTTTTAAAGCGATCCTAAAAACACTTGAAAGTTTTAACAAAACAATTTTCATCATAAAACTGAACGAACAAATGTATGTGAATAAATAAGTCAGTGGCAAACAAATGAAGAATGGACGTTTTAGTATAAAATTCACGTGTAAAGAAAAGTCGTCTTTATTTTATTTATTATTATTATTATTATCTGGTTTTGTCACGTGACACCCTGAGCGGGGTCACGAAAGGTCAAACAAAATCAGATTTTGAGATATTAATACTGCATAAGGTGGCCAGAGTTTTGATTGACAGCTGTTCTCAGGATGAAGTGTGTGTGAGTGTGTGTTGATGTGTGAAGCTCTTATCAGCTGCGGTTTGTGTGAATCTCACCGACACTCAACACACACACTGTCCTGACAGAGCGAGAGCAACACACACACTGATCTCAGACACTGATAGACGCTCCACACTCACACACACTCTTCACACGGCAGTCATTGTTACATCTCTGACACATGTCTGTATCTGACGGATATTTTAATGACTAGAACAGAAGAATAAAGACGTGTGTGTTCGTGTGTCGATGGGGAATGATTGTCAGTTCTGCTGTGCGTCTGCTCTACACTGAGATTGCGGGGTACTGTGCAGTGTGTGTGTGTGTGTGTGTGTGAAGCTCTGACACTGAAGTGAGACGGACGGATGAAGCTTCAGTTTCTAATGCATCTGTTAATATTAGATGAGCTTCAGCTTTTAATGGCTGTTCAGAGATCAGATGCAGAACACACACACACACACACACACACTCTGACTTACACACATGCACACACACACACGTTCACAGACACACACACTTCTGGTTGTTTTTAGTGAAGCTCATTTATTTTAATAATCAATGAGTCATAGAACCATAACCATGACACTATTTGTGCAACAGAGTATTAGATGTGTGTGTGTGTGTGTGTCCTGATCTCAGACTGAGGCTCTGCTGTGATACATGGCCGAACGAGAGCCTGAGTGTGTGTCCTCGAGAAGAAGCAATGTATAGAGTGTGTGTAAGAGAGTGTGTGTCCTCGAGAAGAAGCGAAGTAAAGAGTGTGTGTGTGTGTGTGTCTCAAGAAGCGAAGTAAAGAGAGTGTGAGAGTGTGTGTGTGTGTGTGAGAGAGTGTGTCCTCAAGAAGAAGCAGAGTAAAGAGTGTGTGTGTGTCCTCGTGAAGAAGGCGAAGTAAAGATTGTGTGTGTGTGTGTGTGTATGAGAGTTTGTGTGTGTGAGCGAGTTAGTGAGTGTCTGTGTTTGAGAGTTTGTGTGAGCGAGTGAGCGTGTGTTTGAGTGAGTGTGTGTTTGAGAGTTTGAGTGAGAGTGTGTGGGTTTGAGAGTTTGTGTGAGAGTGTGTGTGTGAGTGAGTGAGAGTGTGTGTGTTTGAGAGTTTGAGTGAGAGTGTGTGTGTTTGAGAGTTTGTGTCAGAGTGTGTGTTTGAGAGTTTGAGTGAGAGTGTGTGTGTTTGAGAGTTTGAGTGAGAGTGTGAGTGAGTGAGAGTGTGTGTTTGAGAGTTTGAGTGAGAGTGTGTGTGTTTGAGTGAGAGTGTGTGTGTTTGAGAGTTTGAGTGAGAGTGTGTGTGTGTGTGAGCACGTGCATCTGACCTTCAGAGAGTAAAGTGTGTTTCTCTGTAAGCACAGCGTCAGGTTTCATGGCCTCGTTCTCTCGCGCTCTTCCTTTAAACCTCTAGGTTTTCACGGAGACGTGTGCGCCGACAGCTGTCAATCAAACTCAGAGCTGTCAATCAAGAGTCTGACTCCATGATCGTGTTTCTCGACGGTTTGAAGTGCTTTGATTCCTGATCAGTCATTTGATACAGACTTACAGTCAAACGCTGCAGTGTGTCGAATGATCATGGTGTGTGAGTGTGTGTGGGAGAGAGTGTGTGTGTGTGTGTGTGTGTGTATGTGTGAGAGAGAGAGAGACAGTGTGTGTTTGAGAGAGACAGTATGTGTGTGTGTATGAGAGAGAGAGAGACAGTGTGTGTATGAGAGAGACAGTATGTGTGTGTGTATGAGAGAGAGAGAGACAGTGTGTGTATGAGAGAGACAGTATGTGTGTGTGTATGAGAGAGAGAGAGAGACAGTGTGTGTATGAGAGAGACAGTATGTGTGTGTGACAGCCGAATGAAAAACATGATAAATGATGCCGAGGTGAAATAGTGTGTGTGATGAGTTATCTGCTTTTAATGTCTTAATGTTTACTAATGTTAGAACGTTAGCACAAAAACATCATTTATGGGATGTTTGAAAAAAAGATGAAAACACACACACACACACACACACACACTCTGTAGTCTGTTTGCCTTTGTGATTGTCAGATAAATGAATTAGCCGAGATTAAAGTTATAGTTCTTCACTCTTATTAAAAATATCAAACATGTTCCTCATATTTTGATGGTTCGGATAAAGCGGATGAAGTGTAACGAGCGAAAGCAGTGATGTGTCCGAGCCGATGGTGAAGATCTGGTCATTAGCTGAAACTCTCTCTCTCACACACACACACACACACACACACACACACACTCTCCTGATTGCAGTCGGATCGGGTTTCTATCGATCGCAGCTTCCAGGCTCTTAATAAAAGCTTTACTTAAACATCTGGATTAACACTTTCAGCTTCGACTCGTTTACATCAGAACAACTGACACTCCCTGCAGAACACACACACACACACACACTCGTTTGGGCTGTTTCTCGGAGCTGCTTCAGGAGGAAAGTGTTTGAGTGTCATGACGACGGCTCATCTGTATCGTGACTGATCTGGAGTCAGGCTCAAAGAGTGTGTGATATATGAAGCTGATCAGAAGACCAACATGAAGAGTCTATTAAAACAAAACCTGATATTTGCATTTCCACGTATTTTATTGCAAATATGATTCCCTGACTGACAGCGGATGAGTCTCGGAGTCTCGGAGAGTTCGACTTTAATCAGATTATTTTAATGGGCAGCTCGGATTAATTGAGATTATCCTAAATGTCAGACGCCATAAGTGTCAGTAAATGTCAATAGAGAGAGAAAGATCTCAAACGTACAGATGAAATGTCATGAGCGGATGATAATATTCCAGCTTTAATTAAGCGTGTGTGTGTGTGTGTTTTCATCCTCTTGAGAATCATAGACGATATTGTAGGAATCACAATGAAACAGCAGATTCATTCACACACTCACCTATGTGTCATGTGGTCCCGAGTCACTGTACACACACACACACACACACATATTTGTTATAAGGTCCCTGGGCCCCTGTATACACACACTCACATGTCATGTGGTCCACTGGACTCTCTCACACACACACACACACACACACACACACACACACACACACACACGTTTCGTGAACGTTTCCATTAAGGTATGGAGCCGTCGTGCACCGGATCTGGGCCGACACTGTTGCTGTTTCTGTCTCGTTTTTCATTCTTTAAGAAGCGAAACGCTCCAGATATGAAGTCTAGATTTCTGAAAGCTGCCTCATGATGGAGTGTGTGTGTGTGTGTGTGTGTGTGTGTGTGTGTTCGAAACACGAGCGTCTGCAGCTCCAGCCCTTCATCACTCCTCAGGACAGACGGCTTCATAAATCCTGCATGTAATCATTAAATTTAAATACGGGGGTCAACAGTCCTCATTATTTTCTGTGAAATATTAAAAACCTATAAATATTTCATGGGGTTCCAAAACTGGAGGTGAATTAATTTGGTGACATTTTTTTAAGCTATAAAAGTTTAAACTATTAAAACCCATTTCTGCCACATAAATGCTTTAGTAAATCATAATTATGATAGCTGACATTATGGCACAGAAAGTGAAAATTATGATATGAAAATATTGACAGTGGGCGGAGTCACTGAGCGAAACAAACACACAGAACCTGTGAGGGGCGGGGCAAACGGGCAGTGGGCGGAGTCACAGAGCAAAACAAACAAAGAACCTGTGAGGGGCGGGGCAAACGGGCAGTGGGCGGAGTCACAGAGCGAAACAAACACACAGAACCTGTGAGTGGCGGGGCAAACAGGCAGTGGGCGGAGTCACAGAGCGAAACAAACACAGAACCTGTGAGGGGCGGGGCAAACGGGCAGTGGGCGGAGTCACAGAGCGAAACAAACACACAGAACCTGTGAGTGGCGGGGCAAACAGGCAGTGGGCGGAGTCACAGAGCGAAACAAACACACAGAAACCTGTAAGGGGCGGGCCAACAGGCAGTGGGCGGAGTCACAGAGCGAAACAAACACACAGAACCTGTGAGTGGCGGGGCAAACAGGCAGTGGGTGGAGTCACAGAGCGAAACAAAAACACAGAAACCTGTGAGGGGCGAGGCAAACAGGCAGTGGGTGGAGTCACAGAGCAAAACAAACAAAAACCTATGAGGGGCGGGGCAAACGGGCAGTGGGCGGAGTCACAGAGCGAAACAAACACACAGAATCTGTGAGGGGCGTGGCAATAGGGTGACCACCTGCTAATAAGCCCAAGGGGGGACAAGGGGTATGTTTCTGAGGGACAATGTGGGACACTGCTTGGCGCGGCGGTGCCCCCATCCCACGGGCAGACTCTGATAGTGGTTTACCCCTATCTAGAATTGTTACTATTGCCTTACTGTTTGTACATGAATAATTGTTAAAAAAAAAAGCACATACCTTAGCACATACATTAATAATGCCCTATTACCTAAACATGTGTAATTGCTGATATATGCTCATGAATATGTGTATTTTTTTTCTAAATAAAATGAATATTTTGAACATTCAATGAATTGACAGATGCACTTCCACTTACGATTTACTTTAGCTATTTAATTTTATTTATTTTTCATTACAAATAATTCACTTTAAATAAATAAAAATATAAAATTATAGGATTAACAGGAATTATAGTTCCTCAACACCACAGGAACAGTTTTTAAAAAAGTGGAAAAAAAAGTCTAAACTCACAACTCCAGAGGTTCACGGAACGACAAGGTGTGCTGTCATGAGTCATCAACCTAGTCAGCAGGTCACGTGGGAGTGGCAACCAGTCTTGGGGTAGTTCAAAGTTCAGTTCACCCATTTTAAAATGAACTAGTTCAGTTCAAAGTTTGCACAGAAATGTAAGATTTTTCCCATCTTCACCGACCTCGTTATAAAATCCGTTTAAATTATCATATGGCGCCTTTGTCGACGGCGGCCGCGGTGCGACACTGGTGGCTTGTGTTGCCAGATTGGGTGTTTTTTTCGCTACATATTAAGCCCTGTTTACGTTGAGTTTTAGCCGGGCTTTCGCCTGGAAGGCTCTATAGAAATCTGGCACCCCATTGAACGAAGTTAAACTGAGAGAGCATGCGTTCACAGACACTGACCAGAATGAACGAGTTCACACGTTAATCAGGACAGGCAGTAAAACAATACGTTCAGTTCACCCACAATATGAACGAGTTCATGAACAAAGTATGGCTGCCTGGGTCTCGGGGATATAGACTGACCGCCTTTTTTTTTTTTTTTTGAGCAAGCATTGATTATGCGTGACACGGTCTCAATTTGCGGGACGCATGAATTGGGCTTCAAACGCTGTGCGCGCACGCGCTACGCGGGACGGGTGTTCACCCTACGTGGCAAACAGGCAGTGGGCGGAGTCACAGAGCGAAACAAACACAGAACCTGTGAGGGGCGGTGCAAACGGGCAGTGGGTGGAGTCACAGAGCAAAACAAATAAAATAATACTAATAGGGTCTAACACAAAACAAAGCAAAAGGTCTAAAACTAAATAAAATAACAGAATAAAAAAAAAATTAAGGAAAAATAGGGTCCAAAACAAAAAACTAAGATTAAAAAAGTGCTTAAGTACAGTTGAACACACACACACACACACACACACACACACACACACACGTACAGCTTTAAACAGCTCATAAACATACTCTATCACTAGAGAAATTATCCAATCCTTTAAGACAATCATCTTTATATAACCTTCTTTGAGAGAATGCATAAATCTCTGAACATCATTTCCAGTACCGACTGAAAGAGTTGTGGAAGTCATGTGACCATGGAGCTTGCTTTTACTTCTGGGATTTTAGTTCATTGGTCAAGATTCTGTGTAAGAATCACACAGTTTTGTATTCGTTTTTTTTTTTTTTTTGAAGAATGATCCAAAAGTGTGTTTTCATCGAGGGAACCAAACAATAAAGCCTCAATCTATTCACGTGGAACGAGGACCGGAGGACTGGAGGCTTCACACTCATGAAAACACCATCAAATGATCATTTTTAGATTATTCACAAACAAATCCCACACGATTAATTGAATAACAGTTATTTGTTGCATTTATAAAATGCATGAGATTGTAAAGGCTTGTGATTCGGGTCAGAGCTGCGGTTTGATGAACATTGATGAACATTCTGTCGTGACTAACGCTAACTGTGAGCGAGAACAATACCGAGACACGCGTGACTGACAGATGAGCAGCGCTTCAACAGGCCTGTCAATCATCACACACACGAGTGATGCGTCACACACACTTCACCCGCTGCTATTCTGACCCGACCCGGACACACTCCGACAACAGCAGATACACCACACACTACAGCTAGGTCAACATAATATTATATATACTGTATATATAAAAAGTCAACAATTATTTACAAAAAAAAATAAATAGAATTAAATAAAAATATGAAAGAAAAAAAGGGTCTAAAACAAAAAATAAAATAGAATACAAAAACTAAAATTAAAAAAAATCAATAAAGATAAAATAATATAACATTAAATCAAACATGTGTAGAACTAAATACAATACAATATTTAGTCTAAAACTGCAAAAAAAATCTGAATAAAATAAAATAGCAACTTAAATAAAGAAAATAATAATAATAGGCTCCAAAACAAAACACAGCAAACAAACAAAAAACACTATTAAAAAACAAAACAATAATATAATTAAATTAGGAAAAGAAAAATAGGGTCTAAAAAAATTAAATAATATAAAATAAAATAAAGTTAAAAAAAAAAGCATCTGCTGTTTTTTTCCCCCTGTAAATTACACTTTTAAATTGTTCTGTAAACACGTTTACATTCTTTACTGTATTTCTGTCTATATATTAGTATTTCCCTCAGATTGTGATAAACTTGGATTCATCATGTTTTTATTTTGCCCATCAGTGTTTTAATAATGGATTTTATTTATTAAATTACCGTTTTTTGAAAATTAATTAACATTTTTTTACTTTTTTTTGGCAATCAAATGTTTTGACAGTGAAAGGATTTTGAGTCACATGAGGGTCATTGAGGACTCGGAGAGCGGAGACGAGCCGCTCGTCCACTAAAAGATGCGACAGTAAAGACTTGCTAGCTAGATTAAGACAATCGTAGTTTATTATGAGCAAATGCATCGTTTACGTACAGAAAAACCTGCAGTGGTCTTACTTGATATGAGGATACATGAACATTCATATTATAAACACAGGAAGCAAACGTCCGTCAGCCGGTGTTCGTGATCTGAGAGTTCATCGAGTCTCTAGTGATATAATCCAGAGCGTCCAGGAGTCTGAAACAGGTAAAAACATCATTACAAAGCATGTTTTAACCCCAAATCCACAGTACAGTGGCTGTGTTTCAGATGCAAGGCCATTCACATTCACTACTAAACCAATAAAGTACAAACTCCATTCCCTTTCTCCATAGGGAAATTTATTTTTAACACTACTGTGAGCTACGAGACTGCTAATCAACACTATTTGCTTCTCGTCAGCACACATTATTAAAAATCAGGCAAAGAATAATCGTGTTTAACAGCTGAATTCATGGCAAAAAACTACATTTCCCATGATGCTGAGCTGAAATTCTACCAATCGTGCCGAAAAGTGCTTGTAAGCTCCACCCACTCTCATGGATCACCACGGATACATATGCATACTTAGCAATTAGCCTAAAAAATATTGATTTTAAGTACATAATGGTTTGCTGAAACGCTACTGTAGTGCATTAGATGTCCGATCAAGCACTTTTCAGTTTAATAAAGCCTCCAAACACCATAAAACACCTGACGAAGTGTGTGTTTGTGAAGAGAAGGACTGTCACACACTACCAGCCAAGTGTGTGAAGCACATTAAACACACACCAGTCGCATATTAGAGTTTCACATCAGGCAGAGTTTTGATGGGTTTCTCTAATGATGATGATGATGAAGAAGAGTGTGTGTTGTGCAGGACAGCTCACCTGTATCCAGTTTCCAGTGGTCACCAGAGCTGATCCCGGTCCGGGGAAATCTGTGCCGACCGAAACATGGGAAATGAAAGCCGGAAACGGCATTAGTTTAGTGTTTCATACAGAACAGAAAGATATCCCAGTTCTGAGGTCGGCCTGGTTAATCTGCCAGCGTCTGAAGATAACCGCGGATATTTAGGATCAATAATTAGGCTCCAGACAGGTTTGGCGAGGCCCTTTAAATAATTGATAGAAGTTGAACGAGCTCATACAGTCGTCATAACCAGGAGAAGGACATTTGCATTGGGTTACTATTAAAAGCTTCTAATTAAAGCAGCGATGTGCTCCTCCTGCGGACTCTGACGGCTGAAGGGTGTTGCGGTGACACACTAGCAATGATGTTGAGTTCTTAATGCAAGCTTTTAATAATGCCTGCTCTTCTGTATTGGACGAAGTGGCTCCTTTAAAGACAAAAACTAAGCATATATGTAACACCGCGCCTTGGATGACGGACGATGTGCGTTGTCTAAGGAGGAGGTGCCGTACGACTGAACGTCTATGGAAATCCACCGGGCTTGAAGTGCACCGTCTATATCTTAAGGAACTTATGCATGATTTTAACAATCTAGTTGCGAAATCTAGGACTGCTTATTTCTCTCATTTAATATCATCCTCTAAGCGAAACCCTAAGGTATTATTTGATACCATACATAACATTGTATCTCCTCCAACCACTGTGACAACAACATGCTCTCAAAATGATTGTGATAAGCTGCTGTCTTTTTTTATTGATAAGGTGCAGTCTATTAGATCAAATATTCTGCGCGGACCACACTATTCTATGGACTGTATTCATTCACCTAGGCCTATTATCATTGAGTCTTTTAAACCAATCAGCCTCCTTGATTTGCTAAATTTGATTAATAAAATAAATATATCCTCTTGTCCACATGATATAATACCATCCTCATTATTCGCAAAAGCACTCCCTGTCATTGGCCCTAGTATAGTAGCTATTGTCAATACCTCACTGGCTACAGGCTGTGTCCCATCTTATCTCAAACATGCCACCATTCAACCCAAATTAAAAAAGCCTAATTTGGACCCTACAGTTCTGAAGAATTATCGGCCAATATCTAAGTTGCCATTGCTGTCCAAAATTCTTGAAAAAGTTGTTGCTAATCAACTTACAGATGTTTTAGAGAATTTGGAGTTGTATGATAAATTTCAATCAGGTTTTAGGAAGAGACACTCTACTGAGACCGCCTTGGTGAGAGTCTGTAATGACCTTCATATGGCCTCGGACACAGGTCTATGTTCAGTATTGGTACTTCTAGACCTTAGTTCTGCTTTTGATACTGTGGACCACCACATCATGATTAGGAGACTACGTGACTGTGTGGGCATAACAGGAGTGGCCTTGGATTGGTTTACCTCATATCTTTCCGATAGGAGTTTTAACGTCTATATTGATGATTCCCACTCTACATCATCACCCCTGCTTTGTGGTGTTCCACAGGGTTCAGTGTTGGGCCCAATATTGTTTATTTTATACTTGTTGCCTCTTGGTCAGATCATCAGTGATTTTAACATTTCATATCACTTCTACGCAGATGACATTCAGCTTCATTTTACCTTCCGGCAAAATGAGTCATCCAAACTTACAATGCTCCTAAACTGTATAGACGCCATAAACAGCTGGATGGCTGAAAGTTACCTGCAACTTAATCCAGATAAAACAGAGGTATTAATTGTAGCACCAGACAGTGCTATCCCTCTGATTATGCAGAACATTGGACCGTTGGCATCTGCTGTCCGGACTAGTCTAAGGAACCTTGGGGTGACATTTGATAAATCTTTATCCTTTGAAAGCCATATCAAATCCCTTACTAAATCCTGTTTTTTCCACCTCCGTAATTTAAGTAAATTGAAGTCTGTGGTATCCCAATCAGAAATGGAGATGCTCATCCATGCCTTCATTTCCTCCCGTATAGATTACTGTAACTCACTTTTCTTTTCGCTTAATAAATCTGCCCTTCATCGACTGCAATCCATTCAAAATTCAGCTGCTAGATTACTTACTCGTTCAAATAGACGCACCCATATCACCCCAATACTCCGCTCCCTTCACTGGCTTCCGGTTACCTACAGGATCCAATTCAAAATATTAACTATAACCTTTAGGGCTTTACATGGTCAGGCCCCTGCTTATCTTGCTGAGCTAATTCATTTTCACACTCCTCTCCGGTCTCTCAGGTCTAATAATCAAAAGTTGCTATCTACGCCACGCACTCGTCTAAAGACATGTGGGGACAGGGCCTTCGCCGCTATGGCACCCAGATTATGGAATGCCTTGCCTACCAGTATTAGGTTGGCTGAGAATGTGGACAGTTTTAGGGGACAAGTGAAGACTCACTTGTTCAGGTTAGCTTTTGGGTAATCTCTGTATTTTACATGTTGATGTTTTTATCTGTTTTATTTTATTTTCTATCAAATAATTTTTTGTATATTGTAAAGCGCCTTGTGACTAAGTCTGTGAAAGGCGCTGTATAAATAAATTTTACTTACTTACTTACTAGTCACTAATGGGGCTGAAAGCTTCATCTACTCGTGAGGCGGGAACAAATGATCCCCAAGACTGACTGATGTGACCTTCAGCTGACCCACACACACCAGTTTTTGTTTGATCCACCCTTGATTTTTAAGTATAAACTTGCTTATTTTGTTCAGAAAACAAGTCATTTTGCTCTTCCAGTGATTGTGTCTCGATCTAAGAACGGTTAGGGTTTAGTAGCAGATTAAAGAGCAACATGTACATGATGAGAGCTGATGAATAGTGTTGAGAGAGCACATCAAATGTTATTATATGCAACAAAAATTAGATAAAACATTCTATGTGAGGGCTGTAAGTGCCCAGAATATGCTAATTTAAAGGTTTTTAATTTAGTTTGGAAGATTTTTGAGGACTAGATTTACATCTTTTCTCAGAATTGTGAGATATAAACTGGTAATTGTGAAAAAGGACTCAGAATTGCATGTTTATATCTCTCATTTCTGACTTTATAACACGCAATTGCAAATTATATTACATGAATGAAAGGTTAAAACTCTTTCCTCTCAGTGTCTGAAACGCTTCGTTGGGAGATTCAGTCTCTCTAAGCTCCACCTCTCTGAGAGCTGCTCTGCTGTGATTGGTCAACAACGATCATTATCATATCTGACTCTCAGCTCTTGATCACAGTGATACGAACAGTAACGATGGCGTGGGTTTCACCGTATCGATCTCAGAGAACAGCGTCTTCTCAGTCTCAGATACACTACAGTGTTTGAGGGCGGAGCTAAGAGACGCTGCTCAGCCAATCAGGAGCAGCGGTGGGATTATGCAAATTACCTACATGTGAGACTGGAGCTACTGTTGAAAGCTGGTCTTAAAGGACAGTGATTTCTTCTCTAAGGTTGGTCTACTGTGTTATGCTTCAGTCTGACACTGTTTTGTCACTCCTGTCTGAAGGTTTCGCTGCTCTTATTTGTGTTTCAAGTGTTGCTATGCAGGTTTGACGATCTGGTTGTACCTGCTCTACAGATAAAGTGCACTTGAACTGAAGTTTGCTGCCGGTCTCATACCTTGGTGGTCTTGATCTTGTTCCCGGTGGCGCAGCTCCAGCCTCCGAGATCCGGCAAAACTTTACACTCCTCTCCATCCAGACACGGCTGCATCTGACACCACCACTTCTGCGCCACGATCGAGGCTGCACACAGAGAGAGTGTGTGTGGCGACGGGTCAGTGTGTGCAGCGATGACCAGCAGGTGTTTCAGACACGACGGAGGACATTAGAGCCCAACTTTAATTTGCAGAGAATGTCAGAGACAGAATGTCAGGGAATAGGTCAGACGGCACTCAGGGGCCCGAACCCATCAGAACCGGCCGGGCCCTCGTCCGGATCATTAAAGGGAGAGCTCACACAAGAATGAACATTAGCCCATGATTTACTCGCCCTCGAGCCATCCTAGTGAACACAGCACTCTCCGATCTAGGATAGCACAGACTGATCGAGAGATCGACGACTTCAAGAAATCATGGAAATTTGGCCGATATTTTAAAGCCAATAAAAAATGTATTGTTTCTATCGATGCACCGAAAATGAAAATGTTGGCCGATAACGATGACCGATAATTTTTTATATTTAAAGGCCGATGACCGATAATTCTTTATATTTAAAGGCCGATAACGGATAATTCTTTATATTTAAAAGCCGATAACCGATAATTCTTTATATTTGAAAGCCAATAACCGATAATTCTTTTTATTCTTTTTCTGATAATATTTAAAGGCCGATAACGATAATTCTTTATATTTAAAGGCCGATAACGGATAATTCTTTATATTTAAAGGCCGATAACGGATAATTCTTTATATTTAAAAGCCGATAACCGATAATTCTTTATATTTGAAAGCCAATAACCGATAATTCTTTTTATTCTTTTTTTGATAATATTTAAAGGCCGATAACCGATAATTATATTATATTATTATTATATTATATTATTATATAATTATATTTGAAAGCCGATATATTGGCGGATATTTATATATATTTTATAATATTTCCTTCAGCTGAGACGCTTCAGATGCGCACTGTTCAACATGATGGATTTGAATTGCTGGAAATATGACTTTGGAATCACTTCAAAATCGGCTTTCAAATACAAAGAATTATCGGCTATCGGTGCATCCCTATACTCTAGTCGTTTTGCATAACGGCTAAACCGAAAATCACAATTATTTTTGCTCAAACAGTAAAATTCCTAATTATAATTCAAATAATATATCAAAAAATTAAATAATATCAAATAATTCAAAAAGAATTATCGGTTATCTGTATCATCCAAATTTCTCACCTCGCTGCATCCCTACTCAGAGTATCGGTAGGGTAGTGTGGTGTGTGTGTGTACCGTCGACGCAGGACGGAGCCGCTCGGGTCGTTCCCGCCACTTGTCCCGGAAAGCAGGAGCACTTGACCGTCAGCGATCGCTCCTCGATCTTGTTCCTGTTGCAGCAGCGATGCAGCGCCACCACCTCACACGTGCCCGAACGCACCTCGCGCACTACTGCACACACACACACAAAACACTTCAAATACTGCTGAAATATAGTGTCAAATAGCTAAAATAACAATATATAGGTATTTATAGTGTGTGTGAGAGAGTCTCTGTGTGTGTGATATTAATAAAAATATAATTAAACTAAAATAACATTATCTAGTCAGTTTTTAAAATGGCCTTTATATTGTTACCTATACTAAAAATGAAGAGAATCTAAATGAAAAACTGTAATGGAACATCAGTGATGGGGTCGTCCGGATGAAACACTGACGTGTGACTGAGGACGCTTTACCACACACAGCTGTGATGATGATGATGATGATAACGAACTATTCTCACGACAGCCACTGAATTATTTACATGCTGCTGCGCAGGACTTAATTACTGCTGACATTTATAAGAGACTGAGAGTGTGTGTCTGTGTGTGTGAGAGAAAGAGATTTGTGTGTGTGTGTGTAAATATTAGATTAATAAAAAATAGTAACTGAAATAAACCAAAGCACTAAAATTACTTAAATAAATAAAAAATAAAATAAAAATAAATCCTAACCCTAAATAGAAATATTGTATGAATGAATATCATGAATATTAATAAGAGAATATGTCTTCTTATAGTATGTGTGTGAGACGAGTGAACCCACCCTGATGTTCCCTGGATGGTGTTGAAGATCCCAGGAGAAGCAGCAGCAGAAGCGGTGCCAGAACTCTCTGAACTCCCACACTCATCCTACACACACACACACACACACACACACACACATGAGGGACATTAGTGTACATGCAACGGGATCAGGACCGGATCTACTTTCTGAACCGTGGGGTGTTTTTTTGTTGCCTTTTTATTACATATTTTTGTAATCATCATAATTAAATAATAACTAAAGCCGTGTTTGTGGTGAGTTATGCGCAGGCGTTGTTCGGCTCGACCCGAGATAAACCCTCGGCTTCGCTTTTATAAAACTGTTACTCCATACAAATATTCATTTTAATATTGTATTCATAAAATAAACACCAGCAAGCAGTAACACTGATGTAGAGCGCTCACAGGTGTGTGTGTGTGTGTGTAACACTGATGTAGAGCGCTCACAGGTGTGTGTGTGTGTGTTTATGTAACACTGATGTAGAGCGCTCACAGGTGTGTGTGTGTGTGTGTGTTCATGTAACACTGATGTAGAGCGCTCACAGGTGTGTGTGTGCATGTGTGTGTGTAACACTGATGTAGAGCGCTCACAGGTGTGTGTGTGTGTGTGTGTGTGTGTGTGTAACACTGATGTAGAGCGCTCACAGGTGTGTGTGTGCATGTGTGTGTGTGTGTGTAACACTGATGTAGTGCGCTCACAGGTGTGTGTGTGTGTAACACTGATGTAGAGCGCTCACAGGTGTGTGTGTGTGTGTGTGTGTGTTTATGTAACACTGATGTAGAGCGCTCACAGGTGTGTGTGTGCATGTGTGTGTGTAACACTGATGTAGAGCGCTCACAGGTGTGTGTGTGTGCATGTGTGTGTGTAACACTGATGTAGAGCGCTCACAGGTGTGTGTGTGCATGTGTGTGTGTGTGTAACACTGATGTAGTGCTCTCACAGGTGTGTGTGTGTGTAACACTGATGTAGAGCGCTCACAGGTGTGTGTGTGTGTGTGTGTGTTTATGTAACACTGATGTAGAGCGCTCACAGGTGTGTGTGTGCATGTGTGTGTGTAACACTGATGTAGAGCGCTCACAGGTGTGTGTGTGTGTGTGTGTGTATAACACTGATGTAGTGCGCTCACAGGTGTGTGTGTGTGTAACACTGATGTAGAGCGCTCACAGGTGTGTGTGTGCATGTGTGTGTGTGTGTAACACTGATGTAGTGCGCTCACAGGTGTGTGTGTGTGTGTGTGTGTTCGTCAACAAGGAAAAATTCTGTTTAATCTCCTGTTGCAGATCCTCTTCGGACTCTTCTGGTCATCAGTAATCCAGCAGTCACTGTAAACGATCACACACACACACACACACACACACACATACTGACGGTAATTACTGGCAGCTCCTCGTATCTCTTACACAGATTATGAACTGATATGAACACCTTCTATATTACGGAGGAGCTGGAGATCCGACCGTTTGTTTCCCGATCGGTGTTAGGATTGTGGTGGAGTAATGAGTATTAGATCATCTGAGACACACACACACACACACACACACACTCTCTCACATACACACACACACACACACTCACTCACTCACTCACATACACACACACACTCACTCACTCACTCACATACACACACACACACACACACCCACTCAGTCTCTCTCTCTCACACAGACACACTTTCTCTCTCTCAGAAATACTTTCTCTCTCACACACACACACTAAGTCAATCTCTCACTCACACACACACACACACACTATAAAACAGCAACAGCGCCCAAGACCCGCCCACAAAGTTACTTGCGTTTCAGATCGTTGAACTAGGGCCCCGTATCTCACATAAATCAATCAATAAATATATTATACACTAATAATCCTATTGTTCAGCGTCAAATAATTTGATTTCTTTTCAATTTGATCTCAAAATGGAAAGAACGATTTGATCTTACGCCTCGAGTGTGTGAACATGCTTACAAACATCTCCAGACGCTCGTCATCTTCGTCAGCAAAACTGAAATATAAAATTTAACGTCCACTATAAACCCTCACACGCTGCTCCTAAACACACACTAACATCGTGAATTACATATTAAACCCTAAATCTGAGGTGGCACTAATATTTACGCCGGCTCTACATTAATAACAGTGTGTGTGTGTGTGTGTGTGTGTGTACAGAAGCTCGTCGTGAGTCTGATGGAATGACCTTATAAACGGCTGTCGCTCCAGCGCCGGAGGAACAGACTCGTTCCCTCATTAAGGATCTGTCAGAGAGGAACGAGCCGCTTCTAATTGTGTGTTTTATTGTAAAAGCTCTTCATGTTTAATTCAGGCGGTGTGTGTTGAACTGCAGACCCTCAGGACATCTGCATAATTCATGCGCAGAACAAGAGAACACGCCGCACAAAACTTTGGACAAACGCTCATAAGCTCGCGCACGCATCAGCCGGATGAATTATTCACGCACAAATCGAGTCTGGTTAAGAATGAGGTTGTCGTCTGCGTTCCTTCAGTCCCATCATGCCGTTCATCTTCAGGAAGTCACGACCACGGCCGCATTAACAATAGGGGTAGGCGGGGCTAAAGCGCCGTAAAAGAGGGGGCCTGTGATTGGCTGTGGAGCAGATACTATGACCATCTGAACACGGGATTCATGGAAGAGCCAGACTGATCTCATGAAGTAGCGTGTGTATGACACGTCAATTCGTATTTCCATTTTTGGCGTGCTATCAAGACGCATAATCGCTTTTCAGCGTGTTTATGAACGCCGTTGACTTAACGTTATTACTGTATATATAAATATATGACTTACCTCAACCCCGTCCCTAAACCTAACCGTCACTGGGGTTAATGGCATTTATACGGCCCTATGATTTCCGCGTTCACGGAATCGAGGAATTGGCAAATTAACGCGTAGTCTAGTGTTAACGCGGAAAACTTTAACTTTAAAAGCATACTCTTTTTACGACTAAAACAACTGTCAAGGGTACAAAAAATTAATTCCCGAAAATTAAAATGGAAAAAACGGATTTCATGGGGCCCTACATTTATGAGTGTTCCCTTACCATCCTAGGAAAAAAAAAGATCGCTCCCCAGATGTAGATCTACATTTTGCTTCGTTTCGCGCGGACATTTGATGGCGTGTCCAGACACGCGGAATCACTCAGACGTTAATGGCCTCAAGTGTCGTGTTATCTCTACGAATTTTGAGCTATCCGCGTGTATGTCTATGTTTACGAAAAGTCATGATGTCATCTTGGAAGAGCAGATCCAGATCCATCACAACTATAGCAGACAGACAACGCTCTGAGAGACTTACAGGAGTGTGTGTGTGTTTCGCTGACTCAGTTTCGTCTGCTGGGAGAGAAACACGTTCACAATTCAGAAAAGAAAGTCACTTTTGATTTGCTGTAGAACAGGATTCCTCAAACTAAAGGCCGAGTCTTCAGTTACCCCTTTTCCACCAAAAAAAGAACTGGTTCGGAACTGGTGCTGGTTCGACTTGGTTTGTTTTTCCACTGACTACTAGAGCGCCAGGGAACGACGTCGTTACATCACTGTGTACGTCGCCATACGCCTTAGCTAGAAACGCTTGCAAATACAACATTACTTTTGGATTATCTCTAACTCGTGTACCAAGAAAGCTTTAAAAACAATTGACATATAATAATATATGTAATAATAAATGTAATTTTTTCTGATAAGTTATGTACCCCTGTAATTGTGTCTTTTTTTCTTTCCATTTATTTGTTCTATATTGTGACTTTTCTTCTTTGCTTATAATGTCTTCAATAAAAAAATTACAAAAATAGAAACGCTTGCGTTAACTTCAAGCATAAAAATTACAAAAGCGGACTCCATCGTGTTTCTGCAAACGTTTCCCTTGGCTTTGCGATCTTTTATTATGGTCAGAAAAGATGTTTAGGACACATCTAAACCCGCCCCAGCCCTCGACGTAAGCATGACGTGGTAAAAGAATGGTTCCAGTCCAGCAAAGAGTTGGTGCCGCTTTGGAACCAGTTTTCCCGGCCGAGAACCGGTTCTTTGGCTGTCGAAACACAAAGAACTGGTTTGCGCACCGGCTCCGAACCGGCTCTCAAAATGCTTTGGTGGAAAAGGGGCTAGTGTGTGTCGTGTGGAGAACGAGACGAGCGCCTGTGTCCTCATCGCTCCGGCTCCGCGTGAAGTTTCAATCAATGTCTGAGATTCAGCAAGCCCCCATTAGCTATTCACCTCACACACACACACACACACACACACACACACACACACAGACTCAATCCAGAAGAGAAGGTGACAAACACACACACACACTCCTGAAGAAGAGGAGGTGACACACACACAGATCAATGCCCATCTCTCGAGATCATATGAACGCTGTATTTCTGATCTGCTTTTAATTGCTCTTCCTCTGACGGCAGCTTCAATAACGAACATTTAAGAGAGAATAAAACCGTTCGTACAGACACTGGTGTTTTCAAGCATTACTTTTTAGTTTTTTTCAGACAACAATCAGAGATCGCACTTATCAAACAATATCTTCAGGGTCTTTTAAACTCAAATTACAGAAACACAACGGGGAACGTATTTAATAATATTAAATACAAAGTTTATAATGGCTATTATTGTTCAATAAATTATATTTTATATTATAATGGTGGCGTACTGAGATCACACATCACACGGACTCATTTTGCCTAAAAAGAGTGTATTTGTGTTTTAAAAAAAATAAAAAATAAAAAAAACATATATTGTATTTAAATAATTCAAGCTCCTCTTCGTATATATGGGTGTTTTCAAGGGTTTTCCAGGAATTAAATTTCAAAAAGTCAAATTCAAGTACTTTGACCACCTTGTATGAGGCCTGACACACACACACACACACACACTAAACTTATTGTTGAAAGATATAAATGTGTTTTGATGTTCTCCTTTGAGAAGCTCTGAAGTTTTGGTTGATAATGATATTTGCCGACACACACTCTTTGCCGACACACACTGCTCACTGCTGCTGGTTTTGTCTCGTCAGCAGTGTGTCGGGCCGTTAGAGACACATCCCAGCATGCTTTGTGTTTTCATTACAGCTCTGAGAGATGAAGCTCAACTCGACGGTAATTATAATCACACACATTTGTGTTAAGATGCACTCAGAATAACTCGCGTCTCTGAATCGACACAGCGTCTGTGCCCTAGACCAGTGCCACACCTCTGACCCCGACAGGACCTTTCATAGGTGACCTCTGACCCCGACAGGACCTATCATAGGTGACCTCTGACCCCGACAGGACCTTTCATAGGTAACCTTTGACACCGACAGGACCTTTCAGGTGTCCTCTGACCCCCGACAGGACCTTTCAGAGGTGACCTTTGACCCCGACATGACCTTTCAGAGGTGACCTCTGACCCCGACAGGACCTTTCAGAGGTGACCTTTGAACCCGACAGGGCCTTTTAGAGGTGACCTTTGACCCCGACAGGACCTTTCAGAGTTGGCCTTTGACCCCGACAGGACCTTTCAGAGGTGGCCTTTGACCCCGACAAGACCTTTCAGAGGTGACCTTTGACCCTGACACAACCTTTCCATCCACCGGCCTTCCTTCTTCAGAGCAGATTCTGTTCAAAACCCTGATCGTGTTCTTGCTCAGAGTTTCTGTCTCGTTTTCCAGCACAAATATCTAAACGTTCTGAAATCAAGACACATTTACAGAAGAAGCAAAGCGATTAATTTCATTACGTTCTTCTATAGTTTTCATAATTCCTCATCAATCTCAGTCTCTCGGTGCACAGCATGAACTTGTTTTCTGACAAAAGTGTGATGAAAGGCGTCAGAAACGCTGGATATTTTTAGACGTGTCGTGCGCGCGCTCTGATTGGACGCAGACGGGGACAGGAAGTGATGTCTGATTATGAGGTCAGACAATTAACCTCAAACTGCATCTGAAAAACTTCAAAACAACCATTATGCTCAATCAGATCACTGCAGAAATTGTGCTCTTCCTCAGTGCTTCGGTCTTGTTTTCCAGCACAAAAATAAAAAATACATGAAGTTAAAATACCTCATTATGCTCTTACAAACCGTGTGTAATAGAGCCGTTTGTGAATGTAAAAACTCTGTAAAGTTGCTCAATAAATAGTTATTGTCTCCTAAAATAAAGAAGAAACTGCTGAAACGAGTCAGTAATTTCAGTCTCACATGTAACTAATTAGCATAATCCCCACTGCTGGTCCTGATTGGCTGAGCAGCATCTCTTAGCTCCGCCCTCAAACACTGTAGTATATCTGAGACTGGGAGAGTTCGGCTCGTGTCGAGAAGACGCTGTTCTCGGAGATCGATACGGTGAAACCCACGCCATCGTTACTGTTCGTATCACTGTGATCAAGAGCTGAGAGTCAGATATGATAATGAGCATTTCTGACCAATCACAGCAGAGCAGCTCTCAGAGAGGCGGAGCTTAGAGAGACTGAATCTCCCAACGAAGCGTTTCAGACACTGAGAGGAAATGAGCTGAAGCGGCAGTGGATATATAAGGAAAATGTTGTTTGACCTTTGACCTGAAACTAAAGTAGAAAGTTTTAAAATAGCATTATCGCGGCACTTTAATTCAAACGTAAAACAGGCTTAATTATCTAACCTTATTGGTGGATATTTGCTCTTGTTTTAACCGCATAGTCACTTCATTTTGATTAATATTTCAGGGAAACCAAGTAATTTTGCTTCTTCTCCAGTAAATGTGTCTTGATTTAAGAATGTTTAGATATTTTTGCTGGAAACCGAGACAAAAGCTCATATTTGCTTCATCTGAGGCCGCACGTCTACGGTCAGGGTCGAATCTCTCCTCGTCTCAATATGTTCAGAGACCAACATGAGTCCAGATTCATGCAGGACTCAAGGTGATGATGAGGACGGCCAATAATAGCACACACACACACACACCGCTCAAGATGAAGTGTATCTGTGCCTTCATTAAGTGTTTTTGTCTGTCGGATCTGAGCGAGAATCAACTCACAGTGTAATAATAACCAGAGTTAACAAAGAAAAAAGAAGCAAAAGTTGATTGGTTGTTAAGTGTCAAGCAGGCGTGTGTGTGTGTGTGTGAATCAAAGATAAACCAGCAGATCTGAGTCGACTGATAAACACACTTCACATCGTTATACTGCAGAAAACAACATCGACATCAACAAATGCCGATGAGCAGCTGGCGGTTGATTTTGATTGGATCGTTGTGGTTTGCTATTTGACTGACAGGTGCTGGACGGGAGGGGTATTATCATAGCTGATATTATTATAAAATATGTGGGGTTTAAACGACACTGAATATTCAGTAATATTATTATCAAAACTAGAACTTAGCTGCTCGATTTCTATTGTAACATTTACTATCATTGAATTGATCTGCATAATATCTCTATTGACATTTTAGAGCATTTAAATTTCTCATATTTGATGACGTTTGCATAATTGATTGTGTGTATTACTGTGCTATAAGTGTGTAGAAATAAAGCCGAGCTGGTGTTGTGACGAGGAGGAAAGAAAGCTCGTATTTTACACTTTAGCTGACGCTTTCATCCAAGAGAACAAAAGCTATCAGCGAAAGAGCCAATAATATTCCTAATAATAATATACAATGGCAACTTTAGATTAGGAGTATGTGTGACTAGTTTACATTAAAGATTACCAGGGTGCATGAATGTAAAAAACATAATGATGTGTATGGGCAGATCATTAATAACAAACAGAAATATTCACAAAATAAAATAAAATAGAACGGTTTCATGGTGACTTTATCAAGGCTGTAAAGCATGCGATGACCGAATAATGATGATTATCAGAACGGTTATTAAAGCATCGGTACGCAATATCAACGACTAGCTTTTTGCATTTGTTTCTATAACAGCTACTTAAAAAAACGTCTTCTCCCTAAATTTGTTCCAAACGTATACACTTTGTTTGCATCCGAACATTCTAGAGAAACAAAACTACGATTGAAGTCGATGATGCCTCAGAACTGTTTGGTTCCACACGTCCTTCAGAATATCACAGAATTATCATGAAAACAATATGGTCGTCATTATCGGTGACCATATTTACACTAAAGATATCAAATGACTGAGTCTAATGCGATAATGTGTTTCGTAATCATAAACACACCAAAAATATTAGGAAATTATCAAACATGTCAGCCTGTCAGTTAAATAAATGAATAATTTCATTAATAAATGCAATGCTCACTTACAAAATAAAATAAAAAAACACCAGTGTTTCTTTAGAGTACCAAGGTAACTTTCTTTCCAAGATGTGTTTCCTTTCTTAATGTGTGTGTTTGTGTGGATGATGCTGTGTGTAGTTCACTGTCAGTACTGTGGTAAACTGCCTGAGGTCAGGAACAAACACTATGGTACTACGTGATTATTTTCCTATATTTCTATCTATGGCAATTAAATTATTAATTATAATAAACTAAAAATACCACAAATTAAAGCATAGCAGTCCATATGGTCTCACCATGGCTCGTCAACTGTATTTACACTGAAGTCAGTTTCTGCCACATATGAAAAAAAAATATCATGCTTTGGTAAATCTTGAATATGACACAAAAACTCGAAATTATGACATACTAAGTTATCATTTAGATTTTTATGTCACAATTAATTATGGCAAAAAATGATGACCTAGGTCTTCTACCATTAAAAGTCAGTTTATATGCAGTTATCTCTTTTATGTCATAATTTAAACTTTTTAATTTCTTGTTATGATTTGTTAAGTCATAATCATTACTTTTTTGTCAATTTTGATTTACCAAAGCTGGTTTTTGTAATGTTTTGTAGCCTAATGTATGGAAGTCCTTGTGGCAGAAATGGTTTTCCACAGATTTTCATGTGAGTCAAAAAACATATATGAACAGGATGAATCACCTGAGCTGCTCCTGATCAATCCATCCGATCAGCTCGATCAGTCCAGCGAGAGTCGCAGTTCGACCGCTCCAGGGTTTCGGTTCGGTTCTCTTCGGTTCAGTCAGCGGCGCATCGGCGATTTCACATCATTCAGATCCGAGCGCGAGGTGAGCGCGTAACCGTCACCAACCGTCATTAAAACCGCCACAGCAGAAATAACGAGATTATTCCGAGGAATGCTTCCCGCGTCTCCTGTTTGAATAAATTATGACGTTAAAAAAGAGCCATAAAAGGGCTAAAAAAAAGGAGAAAAATATGGAGAAAAACAAGATGCTGCTCTTCCCTGAGCTTCACACACTCACTGAATGACTGACACACACACAATGCATATCTCTCTCTCACTCACTGTCTCTTTCTCTCTCTCTCTCTCTATCACACACACACACACACACTCCCATTCACTCACTCTCCCTGTTTTACATTATAATACCACATAACTCTCATCTCAGCTGACAGAGAACGTTCTGTCAAGGTTCTCGAAGTTGAAAAACGTTCTTTTGATAGCATTAAAAGAACGTTATCCGGTCTTTCATAACGTTCTCTTACGTTAGCTCAAAAATTGTATAATGAATCTTTCATGAAACTTTTTTTTATATATAAAACGTTTTAGTTTGACCGTTTTTTTAAAATGTTTGCTACTTGTTTCAGAACGTTTATTCAAAAGTAACGAAAAGGAGTTCAAAAGTAGATTCAAAAGTCTATAATGTTTGGAGACTAATACAATGGAATGTTCCGTTATAACGTTCTCACATAACCAAGAAAAAACGTTTTAAAACATTTCAAAAACTGTTAACATTCAGAACGTGTTCATAACTCACCGTTCTGGCAGTTATAGTCCCAAACATGAAAACACTCTATAATACATGAATAAGGCAATCTTCATCATGGCATTATAATCACTGAACCCCGATAGCAGCGCAGTATTTTCTGTAATGATTATTTAAATAGTCGCGAGTGTGTTTATGATCAGCAGCGCGGGATGTTTGAATCGTGTAACGCGTGCGCGCCCGTGTGACGCCATCATGCGGTCGCTTCCGGTACTGCATGTCGACGCTGTCTGGAAACTTTAATTTAAAACAATTAAACATTAAATATAAAAAAATAAATGTAAAAAAATAATAATAAATTATGTTGAAAAATGTAATATCTTAAACTAATTATTTTAATTGAATTTCTTCTAATTATTTTCTTTTATTTAAAAAAACTATAATTTAAATCACCAATTCCTTTCATTTTCATCAAAGATAACAAACACAGGAAGTGCTTTCCTCCTCAACTCTCTGTATAAACAAATAAATAACTGTCTTAACCCTCTTTAGGTTTATTCACAATGTTCTTTAGTTTAATGAATTTTAAAGGGAAATATTGTTGTCATCATGAGACTTCATATATATATATATATATATATATATATATATATAAATTATATATAATCCCCCAGCATAATACAAGTACAGAAAACAAACTCCATAAATATACGCCTGTGTCACTCAGTAAAATTTATTGTAGAGTAGAATTGAATCACATTTTCACCAGCATTCTATTAATCCCACGTTTATACGAATGGCAACAGGTCTTCGTACAAGATTCTTACCAAAGAGAATTAAAAAGCTTCTAGATCTGATTTAAGAAAGAGGAGCTTCGCTCGGCATTAGAGTGATTGTCACGTGGAGCTGAAGTTGAAGAACAAGACTAGAAAACTGAGAAGACCAGGTCTGGAACGAGCCAAGAGCAGTGTGTGTGTGTGTGTGTGTGTGATGTCACACAGAGTTCAGAGGTCACACGCAGCAAGGCATCATGGGATTGAGGAGTTCAGCACTCCTCCTTCACATAGATCTGTTCATCCGTGTCTGAGTCCAGATGCTCCAGACGCTCCGACTGACCGCTCATGATCTCATCCGGCGTCTTCATGAACCTGGCGGACACACACACACTCTTATTCAGCATTAATATTTAAAACACACACACACACATACAGGTGAAGCTTCAGCGCAGGAACAACACATTATAGGCACATCTCAAACACACACACACACACACACACACACACACACACCTGAACAGCAGTCTCTCTCTCTCTCTCTCTCTCTCTCTCTCTCTCACACACACACATACACACACACATGAACAACAGTCTCTCTCACACACACAAACACCTGAACAGCAGTCTCTGTCCCGGCTCCTTGCGGATGATGTTGAGTTTATAGTAGTGTCTCAGTGCTCGCGACATCTTCTCATACGTCATATTGGTCCTGTTCTGTGACACACACACAAACACAAACCAAAATAAAATATTTATACAATATTTAATAACATGTATTCTTATATAGACTTTTTTTCATTTTTGATCAATCAATTCATCAATTCAATCTAATGCAAAGTACTGAATATCAATGATACTGGTATTGATATAACATTCATTACAGTCTTTCCTAATTTCCTTGAATATTCCACTATTTTATTCATATTCATGAGTTTTTTTAAATAACCAATTTCATTTCTATTTTAATATTTCAAAAATATTCTATTTTTATATTTAGTTTAATAAAAAAATATTGAAGTTACATTAAAATGTTATTATTTATTAATTAATAAACAACAATGCTAAAGATTAAAAAAATAACCACCTTGTGCCATTTCTATTTACATTTTTCATATTTAAAAAAAATAATTAAAAAATAAATATAAAGACGTATAAAATATTTTTTTATAAATTGAATTATATATAACAAATGAAATAAAAAAATATTACATAATTTTTTTAATTAAATATAAAAAACTGCAAATTGTAATACTTAATATAGTTTTTAACGTTTTATTAAACTGTTTATTTGAACGTATAATAATTATTTATATTAATTTATTATAATAATTTCTTATTTTAAATAATTTTCTTATCTTATTACTGTAAATCAAATTCCTTATTTCATTTTTACAATTTCAATTTTAATATAATTAATCTATTATTATTAATAATAACACTTTTATATTTAATAAATAAATATTACTAATAAAATATTGAAGAACAAAAAAATAAATGAAATATTAAAAATGTAATTTTTATATATTTTATGTCTCTTTACTGTAGAGTATTGTCATTATTCTAACCTTATGGTTCCCCCAGAGGCGGGCCAGGCCGTTGGGGTCCATGATCCGGAAGACTTTGGTCTCGCGATCCTCCCAGCGGATGTAGTTCTCGTAGCGACTGTCCGACAGCAGCTGATAGACGTAATCCCACAGGAGCCTGCAGTCTGACACACCGCATCATCACCACAACACAGCAGATCATCACCACATCACACCACATCATCACCAAAACACACCACATCATGACCACATCATCAACACAACACATCACATCATCACCACAACACACCACATCATCACCACAACACACCACATCATCACCACAACAGATTGCATCATCACGACATCATCACCGCATCACCACCACAACACACCGAATCATCACCACAACACACCACATCATCACCGCATCACCACCACAACACACCGAATCATCACATAATCACCACACCATTACCTCATCATCACCACAACACACCGCATCATCACCACATTATCACTGAATCATCACATCACCACAACACACAGCATCATCACATCACCGCATCATTACCACAACATCACCGCATCATCACATAATCACCACACCATTACCTCATCATCACCACATCATCACTACATAATCACCACATCCTCACCGCATCATCACAACACACCGCATCATCACCACAACACAGCATCATCACCACAACACACCGCATCATCACAACATCATCACCACAGCACACCAATTTGAGCAAAGGGGGCGGGGTCTAACCTGCGATGCGGCCCATGGGCGTGGCCTGTTCCTCAGGCGGAGACACAGGCATGATGATCTGGTTGCGATAAGGTCTCTCGTCCTGCAGGGGGAGGTGGTGAGCCGCGAGACTCAGACCGTGAGCTGCGTAGTGGACGGCACTCTGACCTTTCACCTTTGAATTTAATATTCAACAATATTATTGATCTCCTGCATTGTCACCATTATATGAGAACTGAGCTGGGCAAGCGGCTGTGTATATATATACTGAACAAAAGTTCTTAAATCAAGAAGCATTCACTAGATAAGTAAAATGACATAAGAAATGATGTCTTGTTTCCTGAATTCAAAAAAACAAAAAAATGAAGAGAGTTTTTGCTTAAAACAAGCAAAATGATCTTGCCAATGGGGTCAGAAAAATAATCTTGTTTTTCATTTAAATGAATATTATTTTTCTGACCCCATTGGCAGATCATTTTGCTCTTTTTAAGCATAAAGAACTATCCGTTTTACAATTTTATTTTTCAGATTCACAAACTTTCAAGGATTTCAAGGACCCTGTGTGTAAAGCTGACTTTACCTCGCGCCCGTTCTCCTGGCTGGCGCCGCGGCTGTGCCGGAAGTCCGCCGGAGCAGGGCCGCGTCCTGGGCTCAGCAGCAGCGGGTGCATGATGGCGCTGGGCATGAGCTGGATGACGCGCGGCGGCGGCTCCTCTGGGCTAGCGCTGGCGGCGCGCGGGTGGCCGTTGTGGGCCGCCGGAGACACGGACAGCGGGTACAGGTCCTCGGGCAGGTGGTGGTTGCTGTCGGGCATCTGCACGGACGCCTGCTGGGGGTCCTCGGCCGAGGAGCGCAGGGTTGACGGGTGATGATGCGGTGAACGTGCGCGGTGACGGAGCTCGATGGTGGGCGGCTGCAGAGACTGAGCGTCTGTGGTGCGGGCCGGCCGGCGTACCGTATCTGACACACACACACACACACATATGTTAATTAGAGGTATAAATATCACAGGAATAAATTACACTTTTAAAATATTTTAAAATAGAAAACTATGGAAGCTAGTTTCCACCACAAAGTAAAAAAAGAGAAAAAGTTGTAATTATTGTCGTTTTAAGTATTAGCCGTTTTAAATTGTGATAATATTTATTAATAATATTTAAATATTTTTATGAATTTTTTTAATAAATGCAGCCTTGGTGAGCAGAAGAGACTCTTAAAAACAGTGATCAATCTCACTGATCCCAAACGGCAGTGTAAATATTAAACTGGACATGAACACACAGAAACACACAAACTGCAGTTCAGGCCTGAGCCACTAGAGGCTCCCAGAGACCAAACCGAGACACACACAACATCAAACCCTTAAAACATTAATGTGTGAGTGACGTGACGCTCAGCAACCCTGGATGAAAGCGGATCTGATCCTGGAGCAGCATGTCGTGAGGAACACGTGTTGGCCTTACTTTCAGGAAGTTCTCATGTATTCTTTGTCTAGAACTCAAGCTAAAGCTCTTCATCGTTTCCTCGTCAAACTGGTTTTTCTGTCAACATTCCTCCCGGATCGTGTGAGTGTTCTCAGCCCACCGCTTCCCATGAGTCTCAGCAGCACAGGCCCTGATGATGAGGATGATGAAGACGCTCACCTTCATGTTTGTGGTGCATCAGTTGCGTGTCGTTGTGTGTGTGGAAGGATCCGGTCGGGAAGTACGACGAGAGCGACTGAGGTTTTCTCTGCTTCAGGATGTGCTGAAGAAGCTCGTACAAAACGTCTCCTGTCAATCAACACACACACACACAAATGAACGTTACTGTCACTGATCCTCAGCGGTGTCTATCTGCACATTCATGAATAATCACTGCTGTATCTGTAATGATCACACATATACACACACTTTCATTTATTATATTTCAATATTACTATTATATATGTGTGTGTACTGTATATATATATATATATGTAATCATGAAAAAATAATTAAATTACACACATATATGTAAAAATCTAAACAAATCATTTATTAAAAAAAAAAACTAAATTATTTAATCATGTAAATAAATATGTACTTAAATAGTGTTATATTTATTTTAATAATTCAATGTATTTCCTGTCATTGGATCTGATCTAATGAACATATAAAACACACAGTAAACATCTGCACTCATGAGCATCTGACACACACAGCTTGTTGGCTTTGAAAAAACACACACACACACACACACACACACACACACACACACACACACACACACACGAAACACTGTAAATCATCTAGAAGGAAGTCGTCAGTCTTCATGTTGTCTCATGAAAATTGTGTCCTATTTTAAAGAGCTTCCTGAAAAAACATCAAGGAAATGATTCTCAAAAAGGAAGAACACACACTCAGACACACACACACACACACACACACATAAACACACACACACACACACACACAAACACACACACACATAAACACACACACACACACACACACACACATGCACGCACTCTCTGTCTCTCTCTCTCTCTCACTCACACACACACACACACACACACTCTCTCTCTCAAACAAACACAAACACACACACACATCTCAGTTCTCGCTTCTGGTCAGTGTGTGTGATGCAAGGGGAACTCCTGGCTCTAGCAGGTGACGGTTACTTGCGGCTCGATTACACACACACACCCACACACACACACACACACACACACACACACACTTCCTTATTGGCAGTTTACCCAAAATTCAACTTCCTCCTCCGCTCCAAATTACAGATGCAACCACACCGTTACCCACAATCCCTCACTCTGAGACGGCATCGTCTGCTGTGTTTATAAAGCGGCGAAGGAACACACACTCACACACACCCGTTCACTCACATAAATGAGAGAGTGAGGGAGTGAGTGTGAGTGAGGGAGAGAGAGAGTGAGAGAGTGAGTGAGTGAACTCGTCCATCAGACCGCACTCCCCACTGACCACAGCTACAGCCCCAAAACTATTATTAAAGAAATCCACACACACCTAAAAGACACTCATGATCAATCACTAAAAGCACATTTTGACCTTCAAAATAAACTCCAATGTTACTCGACCCTCAATAGAACCACTAAATTGGCCAGCTATCTATTTATTAAACATTTTAAAGAAAGACAAATCCTCTCCAAATACAGACTAAGCGACCATGATCTAGAGATAGAGAGAGGAAGACATAGACACACATGGACAGAGAGAGAGCAGAGGATCTGTAGACACTGTGATCTACAGCACATAGAGGATGAGGAACACTTTCTGCTCTTCTGTCCCAAATATACTAATATTAGAGAAACTTTTCTGCCCAGATTTGAATCCTTGATCCCATCATTCTCTGATCTGAGTGACACTGAGAAAATGTTCTTCTTACTCGGAGAAGATGATAATACAGCTGCACTAGCGGCTAAATATGTGTTAGCTATTCACAAGGCCAGAGACAGCTAATTATATTTATTCATTTCTTAATATATACTGTGTTTATTTATTTACCATGCTACATATGACATGATCTGTACATATATGTTCTGTGTGTTTGTTCTATTATTTATATATAATATGTTGATGCTTTGGCAACATTGTGTTACACAGTCATGCTAATAAAGCTATATTGAATTGAAATTGAATTGAGTGAGTGAGTGAGTGAGTGAGAGAGTGAGTGAGTGAGTGAGAGAGAGAGAGTGAGTGAGTGAGTGAGTGAGTGAGAGAGAGTGAGTGAGTGAGAGAGAGAGAGTGAGTGAGTGAGTGAGTGAGAGAGAGAGAGTGAGTGAGTGAGTGAGTGAGAGAGTAAGAGAGAGAGAGTGAGTGAGAGAGAGAGAGAGAGTGAGTGAGTGAGTGAGTGAGAGAGAGAGAGAGAGTGAGTGAGTGAATGAGAGAGAGAGAGAGAGAGAGTGAGACGGTGAGAGAGGTTGAGTGAGTGGGAGAGTGAGTGAGTGAGAGAGTGTGTGTGAGAGAGCAAGTGAAAAAGTGTGTGTGTGTGTGTGTGTCTCACCGGAGTGTGGAGATCTGTATCTGAAGTCCTCTTTAGTGAGCAGCATCAGGGCTTTCCCGTTCATCTGGAAGCTCCCGCTGGAGATCGGTCTCAGTGCAAACTCTCGCTCGGCCCACCGGAGCCACTGAGCGACGTCCTCGCGACTCCAGAACACCGGCTGCATGCCTGCACACACACACACACACACACACACGCAATAAATACATCGTGTAATAAATAACATATAAACATACAGTGTTTGTGTTTACACTAGCATTGTGCATCTTCCATGATATTGTGACATGCATCAGATTATTGAACAAGAGTAAATATGCATCTGTTGTTGATTGGATGTTGAGATGTGGGTGTGGCCACAAACGTGAATGCAGATGAGTGTGAGCTTGAAGGGGCGGGGTTAAGGAGAAATCTGTGTGAAGGCAAATGGGATGTTTTACACCAGCTTCCAGTTATTCCCTTCACGACTGCAGCACACACACACACTGACGCAGCCGCAGGAAGTGACATCACTTACATTAACACAGAAAAGGAGATGTTTCATAGAACGAATCACATGCAGGGAATAATAATAATAATAATTCGTTACATTTTATATAGCGCTTTTCTGGACACTCAAAGCGCTTCACATAGAAGGGGGGGGGGGATCTCCTCAACCACCACCAATGTGCAGCATCCACCTGGATGATGCGACGGCAGCCATATTGCGCCAGAACGCTCACCACACACCAGCTTACTGGTGGAGAGGAGACAGTGATGAAGCCAATTGGTGTATATGGGGATGATTAGGAGGCCATGATGGACAGAGGCCACTGGGCAAATTTGGGGTTACACCCCTGCTTTTACGAAAGACATCCTGGGATTTTTTATGACCACAGAGAGTCGGGACCTCGGTTTAA